AGATTAGATTATTCCCCCCTGATTTAAGAAATAGGAACCTAATTTTCATGAATTATATCATTTTATCATAATTTCAACCAAAAGACAGTCTTATATTAACAAACAATGCATTCTAGCATTTCCTAATAAATTATGCAAATGAGGTCCTGATTTGAATAAATTATGTTTAATGATGTTCACCTCAATTTAACTTTCAAATACCACAAGTATGAAATTCCACTCAGTGGCAGTTATCATTACATGATTATAAAGTTTTCTCATTAATTATGCAAATTAAGTCATTATTAACATAATCAATATCTTCCTGTGTTTCTCTCATTGTCAATTACCAATGTCACAAGCTTCAATTGTCCTATCATGGAATGCAGCTGATTTATAGAATTTCCCCATAAATTATGCAAATTACATCCATATTTGCATAATTGTCACACAATTATATTAAGCATCACATAAGCTACCTACATACCAAAAATCACAACGATCCGTCAACCGGTTCTTGAGTTATCCCCTTTTGAATATTTTCAAGAATTTATCCCTGCAGTTCCAGAGCAAGCCGCTAGGGGGCCTAAACTCACGTCACTTCTTTCCCAGCACAAGAGCTACCTACCATCTAAATTTCATCACCATAGCATGTCTAGATCATGAGATATCAAAACAGGAAGTTCAGCTGCAGTACCATAATAAGCCGCTAGGGGGTCCAGAATCTAATCATTTTGAGGTCTCATCAAGACCTACCCACCTACCAAGTATCAAGACAATCCATCAAGGCCTTCTCAAGTTATCGTGTTTACAGACAGACACACACACACACAAACACACACATACACGAACGCCCCTGAAAACATAACCTTCTTGGCGAAGGTAACAATAACAATAAGAGAATATGCGGGGTAGGCCGAAAACCTAGGTGGTTTTAAAGGGCCTACCCCAAACAAAGGTAACTATGATGCATGACAAAACATATTTGAATTAAACATCAAAATTAAACTATATAATGAAATAATTGATTAAAAACAAAATCAAGACACAGAAATAATAACAGGACTTGACTGGCAGTTTTGTAGCAGTTGGCTTAACTTGCTCCTGACGATGGGGCCTCTATATGCTATTGAGAATTGTTTTTGTGTGGATTTAGTCTTGATCGGCCTTAATTGGTTATGTTGTCTCGTATTGTGCTGGTGAATGTCTAAATTGAATAAACTGTTGAATTGTTCTGGTAAACTATTCGTATTATGAACGATTTTCAACAATGTGCTATCAGAACTTGAGTTTCGCGACCCCATACCTTCGCTTAATGGTGTTAACCTTTCCAATAACCTATTCCTAAGGTTTTGTTTTTGGTTATGCAAATTAGGTAATTATTTGGTTTAGTTGTACCAGGAAATAATAATATCTACCAAAATATCGTACGTTTATTGTACAATTATTCAATAAATGAAAATGCCCTGATTTGCTGTTTTGGTGTTCCCGTCATTGAACACTACTCTGTAATACTTCTTCTTAGAAAGAAACTAAGAATTATGTTATTGAAGCATGCAAAGACAGTTTTTTAAAGAACAATGGGAAGCAAAATAAGCCAAGAAAAGATTATATATAGATATTTTCTATCTATTTTGATTTAATTTGTTTGTTTCGTTGTCACTTATTTACAATACACGTGTGTAAAAAGAGGTCATAAAACAATTGGATTTTAGGAGAACCCACTCGATAAACCCTTAGGTTTCTTGGGTTCTCCCGCACATTTGGTTGTACATATTCATTACATACTGTTTTTATTTTTATGCGCAAACTGACAATAAACAATAAATAAACAATAAACATACCGTTTCTTGAAGGAACTTTGAAGCGTCTGGACATATCGGTGTGATCTTCACTCAACGATGCCTCCTTTTCATTCTGACCCGGGCCACTGGCACTTTCACAGTGGGTGACTTCGAAGTGGTAAGCAACAAGGTATGGCTCGATGTTGTCGTCGTCTGTTCCACCTAAGAAATAGAAAAAAATGAATTCAATATGGAAGAGGTGCTAGTCTCACGGAAAAAAACCTACAGTGGGTCTCACTGGAAGACAGAAGAAAAATGTCCAGACTATGCATGATGTACAAAATGACTGATAAACTGGTGGATGTCCCAACTACTAAGTACCTAATACCAGCCCAGAAGAGAACAAGAAATAGCTATGCCTTCAAGTACCAGAGTTTTATCAACCAATTTTGGATTGAGGTGTTCAAGAATTCATTATTTCCTAGAACTATTGCAGAGTGGAACTCGCTGTCACCAAGTACAGTAGGGGCATTGTCATTAGATTGCTTTAAACAAAGTCTAGATTTAAAAGTTCAAGGGTTAGGTGTAACAAGTCGATCGGTGAAATATAGCCAGCTGCCGCCGCGCCGCGTGCCTGCGAAGCTGGTGTGTTACGCCGAAAGGCGGTTATACCGGCTATACATATACAGATAACGTTACAGAATACCTATTTGGGAGCAGTATGTAAAATCCTACGTACTGTTAGTTGTATTTCTTATAAACTCTCACGCTATTGAATGTATTGTATTTGTAAAGCTCGCTACAACCCTGAGGCCAAATTCCAACTCATGAAATAACCCAGTATGTGATTTTAGTGTATTATATAGAAAAGTCTATTGCAAATTCGTACCCTGAGGCTAATTGAAAATTACAAAACATAAAAGAACAATGAAATAGTTAAAGTCTACGATAAAGGTATCTGTCTAGAACTATAACTATGTCCAAAACTATGTCTGAATGGTTTGACTTCTCTTTTGTAAACCATGGAAGACGTAATGTCCCACCTTTTCCAACATTTGTGGGTTTTGGGAAGTTAGAAGAAGAATAGTTTTTTCTTGGTTTGTAAGTTTAGAGAAATTGGGATAAATTGTAGAAGTTTGAATAGTCAATTCATTTCGAGCGTTGTTATGGAATGAACAGTTTGAAATAAAATGTATTTCGTCTTCCACGGCCTTTGCACTACAATATTTACAAGTTATATATGTATTGCATTTTACCACATTTTTTTTGTAAAAACACACAATGTCAATCTGAACTCTTGCAATAAAATTACATGAATAGTAAAGTTCTTTGGTCACAACCATTTAATTCTTAAGCCGACGTTTTGATGACCTTCTGTCATCTTCATCAGGGCAATTCTGACTGGTTTACTGTGCACTGACACTAGATGTTACTTGGTGCATAGTGTACGGAAGGTGTTACATAGTTCACAGTGCACTTAAGCTAGTTTTTGCTGTTTACAATGCATTCCGGAACGTAGTGTAATTGTGTAAACAGTAAGAACTAGCTAGTAAACTAGTAAACCAGTCAGAATTGCCCTGATGAAGATGACAGACGGTCATCGAAACGTCAGCTTGTGAAGTGAAAAAAAATGGTTGTGATCAAAGAACTTTGCTATTCATTCGATTACCAACCTGATGGAATTATTTACGAATAAAATTACACATTAGAAATCTCACCTTTCGAGAAAGAAGCATCATGATGACACCTTGGCTCCTGTTGAGACGACTCGATCTCCGCTGGAAGTTCTGCATCCAGATTCCCAAGGTGGTAAGCAGTGAGATATGGCTCGATGAAGCCGTCACCATATTCTTCTGTCTGTGTGGAGCCGTGAGAATTCTCCCTTTCTTCCTGGCTATCGTCTGGGACGCGAGTGTCTTTACCATTAGACGGACCCTCTACTCCAGACATCGCGACAGATTGTTCACGTTTTACCACAATTTTGTTTTCTTCTTCCTAGAAGAGACAAATCACAGCTTCTACCTCTCTCTACTGCTCAAAACGACTCGCCACTTCTTACTACTTGCCCTACTGTTAAAACTTCCGATATTAAAAAAAAATTTAAGCGTTTGCTGTTGTATTTACTGGTAAGTGATATATATAACAGTTGAAGCAGGCCAATTGTATGCATAAGCCTTGTATACAAAATGTATAAGTACATGGATTGCGTCCAGACGTATTAATCATGTAAAATTAGATAAATGTGTTTTGAACTGCACCTATTACTTTTATCCAACCAAAGCTGTCATTGGTCCAACAAAAAGTGGGCTAGGATCTCGTTATTGTAGCTTGAAATAATCTGATGAATCTGAAAATTGAATTGCGTCCACATTTCTCAAAATTTATTAGCGTATATTAGTCTAACGTCTACGGTATGTGTTGCATAAATCAGCCTAAGCCACTATGGCTCAAAAAGTGGAAGAAATTTACAATCTACTGACTTTTTCAGTGGTGGCAACTGTCCACAACTTGCTCATATTTATTGCGCACATGTATCTGTATAGTTGTAGAAGGCATGCGTTGTGTCATTTCGCAAAAACAAGGACACGAGAAAGAAACAGTACATTTTTCTATTGCCGACCGATAGGCCATGTCAAAAAGTTTAAGTTTCACTAAGCATGTGCCATTCTATTTACTCGTCAACATGTTTAACAAGAATAAAGAGAAACTTGATTGTTTCTATCAGTCTACAGCATTCACGTTACAATGGAATTTGAAGTTTTCCATCTCACACAAAGAGTGGACAAAATCACGTAGAAACTAATCTTAGGCAACAGGAAGTAAGTTTTATAGATGACATCCTCCGCAGACTCCAAATCTAATGCGAGCGGGCGAAAAAAAAATTCCTACATTTTAAAATTTTGACTCAATCATTGTACAAATGGTTTTGAGTCATTGGGAACATCACATATACAAAGTCAGCATATCACTGCATCAAAGTAAGAAACCAAATATTAAATCAGAGCCTTTTCTTGTCTCCTCTCTTCATAGTTATCTGCCATCCACCTTCCGGCATGGCAACAGACCTCTTTGCCATTTTCGGCATGTTGACCACTGTCAGAAGGCAACAAGGTTTCTTTTTTTTTCCAAAATCAGGCGAAAATTAATGCGCGCGCTGATGTCATCCATAAAAATTACTTGCTGTGGTCTTACAAGAATTCAATAGTTTGTCAAAATGGTCACTTTCTTGTTCAACACTTCAGTCAGGACTATCTGTCCGTCTGGACCGACGGCAATGCTCAGAGGCTCGACATCGGTAGCGATGTGGCGGATAAACTCCCCGCGGCTTGTGAACAGCTCCACCCGCCTGTTTCCGGAGTCAGCCACGATGATGTGACGAGAACTGTCCGTACAGATGTCAAGGGGGAGGCTCAACTGGCCGTTGTTGGTCCCCTTCCCTGCAAATTTGAACAGGAACTGTCCATTGTTGCGATACACGTAGATGTAGGCAGTGGAGGAGTCCGCCACTAGGATAGAGTCCTCGCTGTCCACTGTGATGCCTGTCGGGTGCGTCAAACCCTGCCGCCTCCCAAAACTTCGCTCGAGCATCCCGTGTAAACCGAAGACTTTCACCGCCCCGCGATGTTCGACCGTCTCTGTCACAATGGCGCGAGTGGACAATCTGTTCAGGGCAAGTGTACGAGGTTCCGAGATGCGAGGAATTGCAAAACTGTATTTAAAGCGTCCACTACAATCATACAGCGCGATATAGTGGGACAGCTTATTCCCACCCACAATCCAAACGTCGTTGTTGTTGTCGAGGTTGCCAAAAGTAACATCGTGCGGGAAAATGCTAATCGTCTCTCCCTGTCTTTTTTTCATATATGTTAAGAAATACATGATGAAGATACCCTCACTGTCATAGATGCCGACTCTACGGCCTCCAAACATCACGACTATCCTCCCACTTGTAGACACAGTGACTTTGAGTGGAAGCCCCTCGACATCAAAGGATTTTGTAGCCTTGACTGGTTTGACCTCCATACCTAGGAAATAAATCATTAAAGCTACCTAGAATACAACGATCGATTGATTAGTAAATCCCTGCAGTTGATTTTTGATTATTATTACCATTATTATTGTTATAGAATATTTTGAATCAATATGTGACATCTTCTTTGTTAGAAGCCTGGAAGCTGTTTCGGTAGGGTTAGTTCCTTGTGATGTTTTGTTCAATAGCGCAACTCAAAAGGCTATGAATGAATTTTTGTGAAATTCGGTATGTTGTCAGCTATCCAAGACATAAAACAAATTGTAGTGTTGGTTTCTTGGTACAGCAACAGAATTTCCGGGTTTGGATGTTGCGATCTTGGGAATGCTCTGATTTTATTCCGATGTAAAAAGCACTATGTCAAAAGCAAAAGAGAAAAAACAACCAACATCAAACATCTAAGAACTGTTCATATTCCTTCAATTACGGTGCTAACGTTACTTGAGAAAATGAATCATGAGATCCTGTTGGGAATTTGCACTTCCTAAACAAGAATTCGGAGATCTCATACCTCCATGAAATGTATGAGTTTTTGTAAATGTTTTTACACAGTACACTACACTACAGTACAGAACAAAATAACACAGGTTTTTGTTTTCAAATCTTTGGCCTGAAATAGGTCAGGCTGTAATAGACATGACACATTTAGCCTATTCCAGAGGGAGTACCTCATTAATCAGGCGCGCTGCCTCCACACGTGTGCTGGTGTTTTGTTGCATATCCCGCACATCTGTTTTCCCTGCCTCGCGAAAGATACAAAAACCGGATGTTCTGCTGCAGTACCATGGTCAGCCACCAGGAGGCCCATATTTAACCTTTACCTTTGGCTTCCTAAGACCTACCAGCATACCAAATATCATTAAAATCCATAAAGGCTTTCTGAAGTAAATTTGCGCAAACACACACACACACAGATGCACCAAAAACAATACCTCCATGAAGTTTAAATGCTTTGAAGTAAACAGCTACAAGCTTTCTGAGCAGGTGGGGGGGGGCGCAATCGTCTCGTGACTATGTAACATGGGGTACAGTATAACACTGTTACATAGGCGATATGATGGTCTTACCTCCATTCATTTCTGTCTGTGCCGTGGTTGTTGACATGTTATGCTTAGAGCTGGAGTTTGACGACACCTTTGGTTAAAAAATTATAGACACTTGTAGTGATGCATATCGGTTCACTGGACTTGGATCCGGACTTGTAAGAATGTTTAGGTTCAAGTCCAAAAAAACCTAAAAGTCAAGAACCGAGTCCGGACTTATTACCATAAAAGACCATTTCACATACCCCTTTTCTTAAACCACCTAAAACCTTCTGTAGATTGCAAAAACTTTGCTGCAAAATGAAGAAAACATTGCCATCGGGCATCGTGAAGTGTCGGCCTCCATGTTATGTGGCCAAAGTTTCACCCATACAACATTGCAAGGTTGCCAACATGCAATTTTGTATATGCCATGGGTTTAGGTCTGGACTTAAAAGTCTGGAACTGAACCTAAACCTCTGGACTTGAATCCGGACCTGAACCTAAATGTGGGTTTAGGTATACAGCACTAGACACTTGCCTCTAATAGTAGTTTTGCTATACAGTAATTATTCATCAATATAGATAATCATTATGTCGAGCAAAGTTATTTACTCGTACAATGTAACATAAGAAAAGTCATTTACGTACCTCTCCAATTTCAGTTGTGCCTGAACCTACCATTGTTTCAGAGTTTGGAGCATCAAATGAAGATCTCCATGGCCATGTAGTAGTAGACTGAGTTGTACCTGGTCCAGAATGTGACTGTAAAAAGGCAAATGTCACTATTTTTTTATATTCCAACATGTAATCACCAGACGTGGTGACGGCACACTCAAGTTTTTTTTCAACTTATATTAATGCCGTCACCAACACAGGGGGCAAATACATGACAGGACAATGCTCATTTTCACCTGAGCGAATTGAGGAAAGTCGTGTAAAGTGCCTTTTCCAAGGGCACAAGATCGGTGGCACGTCAGGACTCGAACCCGGGACCTCTAGGTTCCGCTACACCACACGACCCCACATGTCACTATTATGTACATGCTACATGCTACATGTACATGCACATCCAACCTGGGAACAAAGTAGTTTTCTTAATTAGGAACGAAATTGTATCCTTTTTCTCTGCCGTTTCGGAAGTTGGCACAATATTTTTCGATAATTTCATGTCTTAATTAGATCATAGACCCCCAATTTTTTTGCCCTGCAGTGGCATGGTTACTTCCGCATTCGTTGCGTTTCGTTGTGGTGTGAAGCGTTGCACGAGAAATACCCCCAGATCGTACCTATACAGGGTGCTATATAGATGTTACTGTATGTGCAGAACAACAAATGTTGCGCTCCACAGGACAAGGGTTTTCTGAGTGAACGCAAAATAGTAGCCGCCGAAAGTTCGTCAGAGGAAAAAAATTATGTGTACCAATATTTGTAATAAAGCTATGTTGGATCAATCTACAAACATAATAAAACTATTTACGGTAGAATAGATGTACTCAAAGGTTTGCCAGTAGCGACTTCACAACAATAATTCTGTTTCCGTAAATAATTTCATCAGGTTGGTAAACGAATGAATAGCAAAGTTCTTTGATCACAACCATTTATTTTTCACGACCCGACGTTTCGATGACCTTCTGTCATCTTCATCAGGGTAATTTTATATTATATATAGAAACACTTTACATTTGGAACCGCATATGTCCCTATGATGTAACAATGCCTAGTATGTATGTCACAATTACACTACGTTCCGAAATGCATTGTTAGCAGTAAAAACTAGCTTAAGTGCACGGTGAACCAAGTAACAATGCACTGTGAACTATGTAACACCTTTAGTGCACTATGCACCAAGTAACATCTAGCGTCAGTGCACAGTAAACCAGTCAGAATTGCCCTGATGAAGATGACAGACGGTCATCGAAACGTCGGCTCATAAAAAATAAATGGTTGTGATCAAAGAACTTTGCTATTCAATAATTCTGTAATTATGAGCAAGATTTAACTGTAATTTCCAACACAAAAATTGGACTCACTCAAATTTTGTTATTCTGTAGTGTTTTTTTTTTGTGTGCAACAGGTAGGAACAGATACACACAGATTTTCTGCATTCACAAGCCGTGTATCGCAGAAAGAATGCACTATGAAAAATCCCCAGATGATGGCAAAAGAACAAAGTCCCCAAAGGATTATAACAGAGTAATCTAACGTTCAATTAGTTTATATTCAGATATTGTCTGTGCTTTTTTAGACCTATGATCTATGACCAGTCTAGGGCCACACTGTCTTAATTTTATGGATGACATCAGCGCGCATTGATTTTCGCCTGTTCAAAAAAAAAAAATCACGTCCTCCGATCCGAGGCTCTGGCCTGGGTAGTCCATGGTAGTTAGCGACAATACGGAGCCGATGGTAACTCCGGAGGACGGCACCCAGGCTACCGAAGCTCCATGACTCAAGAACTCAGTACATACGCACAGTGCCGATTCATAAATTCCACAAAAAGCCAGCATGTGCCGGCTTGTCGTATACGTCGCTATGTACTGTCGCAAATTCACAATACCTGCTTTGTATCCCTGTAGATTAGTAGCATTTTTATTTTTGGCCGAAACTTTTTTTATTCGCCCGCGCGCACTACTTTGGGGGTTTTCAGAGGATGCCATCCATAAAATTAAGTCGGTGTGGCCTAAGTAGTCAAGCGAAAGCAAAGGGCTAAATCGGTAAACTTACAGCGTGCTTCACGTCAGGAGGGAGTACCCCCGTCACCAGCAACAGCCCGACGACGATCAAGGCGGCGACAAAGATGGCGGTTGCCACATCTCTGATATGCCGAAGCCAGCGGACCAACGTGGTTGCTAGTGTAAGAAACAGAAGGAGTGAGTAGAAACAGATAAAAACCCTCCTGGTCCCGGGCCGGGGTTCGAACCCACGACCTCCCGAGCACCAGCTTCAGACTCAGACGATCTAACCACTCAGCCGAAAAGGTTTAGACCCGTCGGCCGGGTCAGTTGGTAGCGCCTATATATAAACCCCCCACTGTTACACTACTCCCCTTTTCTTTTCAAGATTCGTCCTCGAATCATCCGAATTCGACATCCCTGGAGCGGCACTCTTTGCCAGAAAAGGTCTAGACCCGTCGGCCGGGTCAGTTGGTAGCGCCTATAAACCCCCCTCTGTTACACTAGATAGATTTACCTCGCAACGTTACATTTGGTATATTATTTTACACGTCCAGTAATATTATCTGCCGTAATACACAAAAGTCATGTAGGCCAGTATTAGCTTTCTACTTGTAGAATAAACAGAAATACGACAATAAAAGATATGTTTTTTTTCCAATACAGTACCAGCAGTAAAGTCTGGAAATAAGTGAAAACTACCTATATTATCACAGCAAAAGGGGCATACATGCATGCATTTACTACAAAACCACAAATACTAGAGTTCCACGATCTCAAACCTTCGCCAAATGATGTAGGTCTTTATGACTGACAAATTATAGATTATTCCCCCAGATTATGCAAATAGGATCCGCATTTCCATGAATTATATCAGTTGATCATATTCTTCACATTATATATACACAGTCTTATATTAACAAAGAATGCCATTCATCCAAATTTCGTCACCCTAGCATGTCTAGGTCATAAGATATCAAAACCGGAAGTTCTGCTGCAGTACGATAAGAAGCCGCTAGGGGGTCCAAAATCTAATCATTTCCAGGTCTCATCAAGACCTACCCACCTACCAAATATCAAGTCAATCCATTAAAGCCTTTTAAGTTATCTTGTTTCCGGACACACACACAGACACACGAACACACGAACGCCTCTGAAAACATAACCTTCTTGGGGAAGGTAATTAGGGAAGTATAGTTTACCTCCAAGTTCTTCATCTTGTAAAGTGCTTTTCATGGGCTCGGTTGTTTGGGATGGATCTAGACCATGAGTGACGGAATCCGAACCTCTCTCTTC